TTTATCAATCTGTAATAAAAGACGTGAGGAAATTCTGTCTTTTTTAAAGACAAACATTTTTGAGGCGAAATACCCAAAAAGAAGTTTGTAAAAATGAATCCGCCTCAACAATATAGAACTTATCTACAATTTGTTCTGGTGTTTCCATTTTTTACCTACCGCCATTAATTTTGAATTTTGGAGGTTTTTTTGGTGTAGGTTTGTGACCATCAAAGAAATCTGTTATACCGGGTGTTTCACCAATGTCCCGCATTTCAATACAAGGGGGCGAACTTGGAAAGTAAATTGCTCCAAAAATTTCTAAATGAAGGAATATTTTAAATGCCGTTGTTTGAAAAACTTGCGCAATTTTTCATGATTTCGTACGAAAAATCGTACGTTGTTCACAGGGATTAAAAATTGAAGAAAAAACCTCGTTTCACATCGCGATTTTGTCTACTAAAGAGACAGTGGCGGCGTCGTTTAATCTTTTTGGGGATGCAGAATCTTAGTAAATCGGCAAATTGACGAGTTTTTTTTTATTGCCAAATTTAAAAGTTGTACGATGTGCACAGAAACTAAAAATTGCACCAAAAAATCTCGTTTTATATCGCAATTTTATCTACTAAATAAAAAGTGGCGCCGCGCTGTTTAATTTTTTGGGAGTGCAGAATCTTAGTGAATCGCCTGATAATTTTTTTTAAAACGCTAAACAAAAAAATCGTACGTTTTGCACAGGAATTGAAAATTGAACAAAAAAGCTTTGTTTTATATCGCAATTTTATCCGTTAAATAAACAGTGGCGCTGCGCTGTTTAATTTTTTTGCGAGTGCAGAGTTTTAGTGAATCGGCAGATTAAATTTTGTTACAAATCGCTAAACAAAAAAATTGTACGTTTTGCACAGGAATTGAAAATTGAACAAAAAAGCTTCGCTTTATATCGCAATTTTGGCTACTAAATAAACAGTGGCGACGCGGGGTTTAATTTTTTTGGGTGCAGAATCTTAGTAAATGGGAGAATTGCAATTTTTTTTTCATCGCCAAATTAAACACCCTACGTTTTGCACAGGAATTGAAAATGGAACAAAACAACTTCGTTTTATATCGCAATTTTATCCGTTAAATAAACAGTGGCGCTGCGCTGTTTAATTTTTTTGGGAGTGCAGAATCTTAGTGAACTGGCATATTATTTTTTTTTATCGCTAAACAAAAAAATCGTACGTTTTGCACAGGAATTGAAAATTGAAGAAAAAGGCCTCGTTTCACATCGCGATTTTGTCTATAGCGACACCTATTGCTAGACAGCGGCGGATGGTTTAATTTTTTGGGGTATGCAGAATCTTAGGCCAATTGACGAGTTTTTTTTGATTGCCCAATTTAAAAATTGTACGATGTGCACAGGAACTAAAAATTGAACCAAAAAGTCTCGTTCTATATCGCAATTTTATCTACTAAACAAAAAGAGGCTCCGCGCGGTTTACTTTTTTGGGGTGCAGAATCTTAGTACATCGGCGGATTTTAATTTTTTTTAAAACCAAACAAAAAATCGTACGTTTTGCACAGGAACGGAAAATTGCGCAAAAAAGCGTCGTTTTATTTCGCAATTTCGTCTACTAAATCAATTGTTGCGGCGCGCGGTTTACCTTTTTGGGGGTGCAGAATCTTAGTGAATCGGCGGACTGGATTTTTTTTTATCGCCGAAATAAATAAATGTACCATGAGCACAGAACTAAAAATTGAAGAAAAATCCTCGTTTTATATCGCTAATTCGTCTGCTAAAGAAACAATGGCGGAGCGCCATTACATTTTTTTTGGGTGTATAATCTTAGTAAGTCGGCGGATTGAATTTTTTTTTTTTTTTATTGCCAAATTTAAAAATTGTATGATGTGCACAGCAACTAAAAATTGAACAAAAATGTCTCTTTTAATATTGCCTTTTCGTCTGCTAAAGGAACAGTAGCGGCACGCTGTTACATTTTTTGGGGGTGCAGAGTCTTAGTGAATCGGCAGATTAAATTTTGTTACACGCTAAACAAAAAAATCGTACGTTTTGCACAGGAATTGAAAATTGAACAAAAAAGCTTCGTTTTGAAGCAATTTTGACTACTAAATCAAAGACATTAATAATATAATCAGACATTAATTAATAAATAATAATAATTTAATCTGAGTACTAAATAAACAGTGACGAGGCGGGGTTTAATTTTTTTCAGTGCATACGATTATGCTAGTGCTTAGTGTGGTGGATTGAAAATTTTTTTTGATCGCCAAACAAAAAAAATCGTACCTTTTGCTCCGGAATTCAAAATTGAACAAAAAGCATCCTTTTATATCGCAACTTTTTAAAGGCAGGGGCGGATCCAGCTTGAAAGTCAGGGGGGGGGGTTATGTAGAAAAAATACAGTCTTCTGTTGTCTATGAAATTAGAAAAATTATCGTCGTTTTGTGCAAGGG